AACCTAAAAACAAAAATGTAATCTATCCGTTTACCAAACCTTAGATGTGGTGGCTAAGAACATTTCCAGCAAGTACAGAAAAATATCTGATGATCCATGCAGGATCACTTTCTCTGAGCTGGCCTGAAGACACAAACTGTTACCTCTCTCCTGTACCCTATTAATCCTATTAACCCCCATGTATTGGAGATGAAGACCTATTTGGAATCCAGCCAGGAAAAGGCAATGTTATTAACAAGGCTATTAAGTAAAAACAAAGAAACAAAAAAGAAAACAAATACAGCCATCACATCAAAGTACTTGTAGGCTGCAATTTACTACATCTTTGTATTTGAATTTAAGCGTACTTTTTTAATTTTGTGAAAGGGATATTTTCAGGCAAAAAAGGGTTAAGGTTCAGCAGGTTTTTTTGTTCTGTTTTTTTTTTTTTTTGGCTGTTACTGTAAATACTCCTCTGTGTGGGTCTTGGAGATGGCAGATTCCATAATGAAAAGGGGAAGGCAACTTTCCACCTCCTTTAGCAGGACATTCTGACTCTTAACTTTTTCATCCCATCACACAGCGGATCCAGATCATTCTGGTCCATTCAGAACTGAACTGCTTTTCTTGTTGCAAAACACAAGCTCTAACTTTTCTGGGCTCCTCTAAAATCCTCGTCATTCTATAGTCGAGATCTGTACATTGTACTTGTAATGTCCGCTAGACCTACTAATCTTCACAATTGCATAAACCATACACGATCTAGTTGCGCAGCCTTTTCTATTTAAAGGAAATCTATGGTGGGTTTTATACATATTTTTCATTATTTTTTGTGGTCAGGCCTAATTAAGTTAAATCTTTAAAAAAATATATATATATATATTATTTTGGGAAAATGTCAGATGTGGTATATGTAATCTTCTGTAGCCTTCTGTTTAGCCAGCAGCTCTATTTTGCTTTTCACATATTCAGTTATTTCAGTTGAGCTTAAAAAGACCTGATACTTGCAGAACCCCAGTGAGTCTTCACAACAGTGACTCACCCCTGATCAGATGGATTCAGGGAGGGAGGGCTTCTGTTAGACAAAGGGAGCCATAAAG